AAAACTTTAATTTTCAAAGAGTAAAGTGCCCTTTAGAAAGTTGTTCTAGTGAAAATAATAGCTGTTCCAGATTGCGTTAGCTATAATAAGTATATATTTGTAATATGGAATTGATAATAGAAAAACTATGGTCACAGCAATCAACTAGACATTTCGGCGGCCAAACCTATTTTTAGTTATAACTTCGTAATGCTGTATCCCATAATTTTGATTTTCTAGAACAATAAGTAGAACAACTAGAACAACCCAGAACAACAACGAAAATTTGATTTTTCCAAAAATGGGGGGCTAGCCAAAAAAACCGTTTTTTCGGTTTTCTCGCGGAGTTTTTATTTTTTTGATTTGCCGCTTTGGAACAATGTAGAACAACTCTAGAATAATCTAGAACAACAATAAAAAATTTAAAAATCAAAAAATGGGGGGCTAACTTCCCGCACTCAAAACCTTTGCTAAATAAAATTTCGTTTTAAATCTCATCATTCAATTATGTATCTGTATTTAAAGTTTAACCTAAACGCTTCTTCTGGGCTCGATTAATTAACATTGGCTTGTCGTTAACATGAGGCTAATCAAGCATTATAAAACAGTGCCTTATTTAAAGAAATACTCTTTGTAGTTCTTAACAGAGACTTAACATTCGATTGAAGGCAGATTAACCGTTGATTAACGCTCGATTTAAACTTTTTCATTTCATAAACAATAGTTTCCATATTATTGCATTATCTCGTTTTTTTTTTGTATAGCAAAAAACTCGTCGGAACACAGCTTTAAAGTGTACAGGGTGGGCAAATTTGAGTGTTATTATAGGCTATCTCAGAAACTATAAGAGATTCCAAAAAAGTAGGTGCCATGTCCCGGTCTCTTTTCCCGAGACTAATCCAATCCCGTAAAGACCAAATCTCTATCTTCTTTTGTTTTTAAGTTATAGCCAAAAAGTCAAATTTTAGTGATTTCAAAAAATGCTTATATTTCGTTTATTTTTGAAATTAGAGAAATGGGGTTAATACATTCTTAAGACACTTTTTTGAGTAGAATATAATGCCGTTGAAAAAGTTTTAACATAGCTGATAATTTTTGAGATATAACATAATGTTGTATTTTTTTAAATACAAACTATACTTTATAATGATTTTACTGAAAAGAGCATATTTTTAGCTTTCCAATGATGTATCGCATGATGTTTCTGCGGAAAATAAGCGTTATTTTTCAATTTTTAAAATATTAAAGATTAAAATTCAAATTTTTAATTATTGTAGGCGAGGAAAACGCTAAATACTACTTAGTTACTATAGCAACGTGAGTTTACTTGTCATTTCATTCATGAATTTTGCGAAACGAGTTTCCCGTTTAAGAAGTTCCGCATTATCTTTAAATAAAACGATAAAATTAAATATAGAATATATTGGAGTCCGCTTTGAAGATGATACATAAGTCTTCATATCCCCATTCAAACGGTGTTTCAATGGAAAGTCCGCTCCCAGTTTATGATTCCTNCAATGTAGAACAACTCTAGAACAATCTAGAACAACAATAAAAAATTTAAAAATCAAAAAATGGGGGGCTAACTTCCCGCACTCAAAACCTTTGCTAAATAAAATTTCGTTTTAAATCTCATCATTCAATTATGTATCTGTCTTTAAAGTTTAACCTAAACGCTTCTTCTGGGCTCGATTAATTAACATTGGCTTGTCGTTAACATGAGGCTAATCAAGCATTATAAAACAGTGCCTTATTTAAAGAAATACTCTTTGTAGTTCTTAACAGAGACTTAACATTCGATTGAAGGCAGATTAACCGTTGATTAACGCTCGATTTAAACTTTTTCATTTCATAAACAATAGTTTCCATATTATTGCATTATCTAGTTTTTTTTTTGTATAGCAAAAAACTCGTCGGAACACAGCTTTAAAGTGTACAGGGTGGGCAAATTTGAGTGTTATTATAGGCTATCTCAGAAACTATAAGAGATTCCAAAAAAGTAGGTGCCATGTCCCGGTCTCTTTTCCCGAGACTAATCCAATCCCGTAAAGACCAAATCTCTATCTTCTTTTGTTTTTTAGTTATCTAGAACAACAATAAAAAAATTTAAAATCAAAAAATGGGGGGCTGACTTCCCGCACTCAAAGGTTTTTCTAAATATAGTTGAGTCTAACAAATAGAATCAAAAAGCTAAGGTATGTACGGGTAACGCTAAAGTTAAAGTACCTACAAATTGAAAAATGAAAAATAACTGAATAAGACTGTGAAGCAAGTAAAAAGGAAGAACGAAACGCATAGAAGGATGCGAGTGAATCCACGGGGTCCGGCGCTCGATTATGTAATCGCTTCCTAATACGGGCGGTCATTTATTACGAGGCCACCGGCGGCCGGCGAGACCGCATCAAGTCGGCGGCGCCTACCCATCCAGCGCGTATATCAAGGCGGCCAGAGAATCCGATCCCCGGACGGGCCGTTCTCCATCCTCCGTTCGTTCCAACGTCGTCGTCGTTGTCGTTTTCACACACGCCAACAGACCGACCGCCGACCGAATAGAGGAGGGGATACGACGATGTCCCGTTCGGATCGGGACTACTCACCGGCAACCAGCCAGTACGGGACCATCCGGCAACGGGAATACGCGAACCGACAGAGTACGCCACCACCAGTAGAACTTACATTGCGCGCGCGCACGTTTAAACTTTACCCAAAATTAAACCCGCGAACATTCAAAACATTTTTTCAACCCCCCCAAACAAAATTTATTCCATAAACTACAATAACTAAGACTTTAACACTAATTTAATCCCAATTTAAACAAAAGAAATTTTCAAAGTGAACATAATATAGTGAAAAAATCATGATGATAACAACACCCATCATATAAACGAAACCCAAGGAAAAACATTACAAACGAAATGTCCTTCCGCTTGTGCATAGTTCCAAAATAAATTGTTGAGTGACAGTAAAAAAGTCCAAACCTCCGTATCGATAATCAACAGGTGTTTTCCGAAATGGCTACCGCGCTTTTAACAGACGCCTCGTCTCGAATAATGCGAAAGAAAATTTGTCAAGCAACCGCGAACGATGACAACGCCTCATCGATGAATAACGACCATCATAAACAGCCCCAACAATCGAGGAAGCAACCGCCGAAACGAAAAACGCCCCCGAAACAAACCGCCAAAGCGGAACAGAATAACAATGTGAAAAGAAGGCGGCTGTCGACCGCCGATGGTAAAGAGGATATGCTGACCAATTACCAGCCTTGGGTCATACAAACGTACGGCGATTTGGCCAAAACGAAAACGATCACATTGAAAAAGTATGCGAGGATCTTGCGAACGTTACGAGGAGAGGAGGTAGTCAGTGCGGACAACAGCAAGTTCCGGTTTTGGGTGAAAGCGAAAGGTTTTCACGAAGGAAAACCGTCTGGTTATGAGGCGAAACCTGCCGATGCTATCGTGGGGAGATACAGTGTGTGCGATATGGACGAGGGAATAAAGCCGATAAGTGACAAATTAACGGGATCGTCGAAGGATCCATCATTGTATGTTCCAAATGCACCGTTTAAGGTAAAACAAAAAATTTTAATTTAATTTTTAATAAGAAATTTGTGACGATAACCAAGCAACGCAATCTAACCGTGACGTCATCAACCATTTAAAATTTATAATATTAAAATTTGCTACAGCTATTTCTTGTAATTTTTTTAATATTCGAAATTATTATTTTAATCATTAACGTAAAAAAAAATATTTTAATTATACGAAACTATTATTCCTTAAAATTGCAGTTAATGGATCTTGTTTAATTTAACCACTTGCTTAGGTACATTGTAATTTCTCTTTAATTGCGTTTCTATTTTAGTTTTTTTAATGATTGAGCTCTCAAAAGTGCTAGGTATTTACGCGACAAAGTAAAGTAATTCGTTTTTTTAACGACTTCAAACGTGATGTTTAATTTGATGTTTTTGATAACTGCAAAACAAAAATAATGACGACATTTTTACCATTTTGTTGTGATAATCAAGGAATTTAAGTACTCTCTCATTAATTAACAGCTTGGTTTATCTAGCAAATAAATTTAACAAGAAAATAGTAAAAGTAACCCTTATTGGGACAACTTTCCACTTAATCAGCTATAAACTGCTGATTGTGCTTTATTGGTTGTTTATAACGTAGTTATTGTTTACCTTATTGTCACTCTTTAAGTTAAACGACCAAAGGCACCCATTTTATAATCGGTTGTTAATGAAATGAAAAAAACTTAAATCGAGCGTTAATCAACGGTTAATCTGCCATTAATCGAACGTTAAGTCTTTGTTAAGATCTACAAAGAGCATTTTTTTTTTAATTAAGGCACTGTTTTATAACGCTTGATTAGCGTGATGTTAACGCCAAGCGAATGTGAATTAATCGAGCCCAGAAGAAGCGTTTAGGTTAAACTTTAAATACAGATCATTGAATTGTAGGTTGTATGAGACTTAAAACGGAATTTTACTTAGCAATGGTTTTTCCAAATATACTTGAGTCTAGCGATTATACAGGGTGTATCAGGTATGAGTAGATAAAATTTGAGGGGTTATAGGTGTCCTCTTTCTGAATAAAATTCTTATACCACAATGTCCCATTCTTTGTCCTTCTTAAGATATGATACGATAAAGTTAAGGGTTTACAAGTTTGAGTACTACTTAATGAATTATACTAAGCATGCTTTGCTTTGCAACTCGTAATTTGTTTCTAGTTTTGTAATTTTGTTGTTTTTAATACAATAAGTAAATTTATTTATTAGAAAAACATGTTTGTAAATTTTTACATTAAAGAGTGATAAAACAGAAGTGATCAATTTATTCGTATAAAGTAAACAACCTCTATATTATGTGTCAAATTAAAGCTATATACATAAGCAAAGCCTGCTAAGTATAATTCTTTATACAGCAGTACTTAAACTTTCTAACCCTTAACTTTATCATATCATATCTTAAGAATGGTAAAGGATGGGACATTGTGTCATAAGAATTTTTTATTCACAATAACGGGACCTATAACCCCTCACATGTTTTCTACTCATACCTGATACACCCTGTATAATAACTTGACTTCCTCCCATATATAGTTTGGGAAGCTAATAGATATAAGAATAAATCTAAAAAATCTTTAAAATGTTTACTCTCGAAGGTCTCATTTTATAGTTGAGTGTTCCGACGAGTTTCTATACAAAAAAAAACGAGATAATGGAATAATATGGAAACTATTGGTCCTACAGTGTTCTGTTTAGTCTTAAAATATGTACAATTACTTACTTAACACGATGAATACACTCAATCTAACTTTGGCAATCAAATAAATACACATTAGCATTTTTGAAAAGTTTTTTTTAAATGTTGTGTGCAGGATTTCACTTTATAGAAGTATTTGTAAAATCCACTGGACCTAGAAGCTCCTCGGATATACCATTAGGAAGCTAATAGATTAGGGGGTTTTAATTTACTACCCATATTTCTGTAAAATACTGAGTCTCGAATAAATACACTTCAAAGTGAATGTTCCGGCGAGTTTCTATACAAAAAACGAGATAATGCAATAACTTGGAAACTCTTGGTCCTATAGTGTTCTGTTTAGTCTTAATATATGTACAATGACTTACTTAACACGATGAATATACTCAATTTAACTTTGGCAATCAAATAAATACACATTAGCATTTTTGAAAAGTTTTTTTTTAAATGTTGTGTGCAGGATTTCAGTTTATAGAAGTATTTGTAAAATCGACTGGACCTAGAAGCACCTCGGATATACCATTAGGAAGCTAATAGATTAGGGAGTTTTAATTTACTACCCATATTTCTCTAAAATACTTAGTCTCGAATAAATACAATTCAAAGTGAATGTTTCGGCGAGTTTCTATACAAAAAACGAGATAATGCAATAACTTGGTAACTCTTGGTCCTATAGTGTTCTGTTTAGTCTTAATATATGTACAATGACTTATAAACACGATGAATACACTCAATCTAACTTTGGCAATGAAGTAACTACAAATAAGCGTTTTCGAAATGTTTTTCTTAAATGTTGTGTGCAGGATTTTACTTTATAAGAGTATATGCTAAATCCTCTGGACCTAGGAGCTCTTCGGATATGTCATTAGAAAGCTTATGGATTATGGGTTTTATCCAATCTTCTATTTCTCTCGAAAATGCTTAATCTCGAAGGAATACCCTTCAAAGTTGGGCGTTCCGGCGAGTTTCTATATAGAAGAACGAGTTAATGCAATAACATGGAAATTATTGGACCTACACAGTTCTGTGTGGTCTTAAAATATGTACTATGACTTACTGAACACGATGAATACACAAAATCCAAATTTGGCAATGGAATTAAAAAGTTACAAATCTTCCTATACTATGTAGCGGTTATCTTTTTTCTAAACAGCTTACTCAAGCTACTCATCAAACTATTTACGGACATGGAATCTTCTGCTTATTTAGTAATAGGGATATGTATGATTATATATGTCTTGGAGGGAACTCATCTATTCTTCAGTTAGATGTTTAAGAAATTCATGGCTTGCCGCGATTAGTTTCGTTTCTTTCAGAGCATCTTCTAACATGATAAGAGGCAAGTTGTAGGTTTCCTCTCCTTACGTAGACTCAATCGTTACTCTCTTCTCAAACAGAGATGAAACATAACTTTTAGAGAAGCTGCGTTTTTGCTTTAGCCTTGTCTATCAGATACGCATGGATATGGTAATTTCTGATACCTTAGAAAAGCTTCAAGAATATTACGTGTTAATGCAGACTGAAGCATTTCTCCTTATGTATCCTAACATTTCTGATACATCAATATCAACGGTTTCTTTTCATCTATTCTCTTTCCAACCAGCTAAGTGATTTGCTTACTTATTGACACCAATTTCGATATCAAACCCATCTTCAGCTCTTTTTTATTTCAATTTTATCTTGAATAAACGAATTCAATTTGAATTAATTTAAGTAAAATAAAAATTTTTGTATTTCAGTCGTTGTGGTTGCGGCAATCTAGTAGGCGTTAAAAGTCCGTTACCGAATTAATAAACTTTCGCTCCGGTCTTAATTAAGCGTTCGGCAATGGCATTGCAACGCAGGGGGTAGCGACGATGTGATCGACCGGGATTTAGGGACGCCGGTCTTTCCGAAGCGACGACAAATTGGGGCGGCGAGCTTTTTAAATTTAATTAAACGGCGGGCGTGAACTTGTACCGTCAAACACCTTGTCTACTTCGTTGGAATATCGGGCGTGACGTAAAGCTTTCGATAATTCGAATCTTACTTCAATGTCTGTATTTATGTCTAAAAGTTACAAGTATTGAGTAATATTAGGATTGTATGGACTACCTAATTGGTTCAGTGGTGTCCCACACGATATAACTTAGAAGTCCTAGAGTAACTAATTTAGGGTAACTTCTACGTTTGAGTAACTCAAAAGCACTCAATCAGTTGTTCGAAAATCATCGTAACTAAACCACCCTGTATATTTATATTTTAATATTAGAATGGAAGCAATTTAGTGCAAGTTCTCTAGTACGAACAGTATATTTTATTGATGCTATTAAATTGATCCAATACGGTACTGGCTTTATTATTGTTTGAGGTTGGCGTTATACCTCCGCTAGCGATGATAACGCTTTTATCACAATTTTATTTGGTGCAATCGTGTAATTGTACCGGCCGCCGCGCCGCCAGCAACCTAGCTGTACGATAATAACTGTTCCATTGTTCCGTATCGTTTGAAAATTATCCACGCGGAATGTTCGTGCCAACGTGTTTAATACCTGATTTTAATTGATATCTTAAATAAGACATTATGCGTTCATTTCGCCACAGATTCAAAATACTCAAAATTATCTTGCGTACAATATTAATTTCGAGTATTGCGGGTGAAAGCTTTGTGAAAGTTTTTTAATTTATTGATTATATCTTTGATGGATTTTTGATAATGTAACGATATTTATGGATGTGTTTATGGTGAATTTAATTATTAAGCTGCTTTAGGCAACAACTTTGGAATGTGTAATAATACATCTCCTATAATGGTCGGAACATGTACCAACCGTTTAAATTATAAAATCATGAATTTGGCATTAAATTTGGAATAAAAAAATCATTGATTTTTAAGTCACAATGCTATTCTTGAAATATGCCTTAAATTTAGTTATAACTCAAAAATTAATAAAACTTATAAGACGCCAAAAAATTAAAATTCCAAATTTGACGTTTTTTAACAAAATTTTTTAATATCTCAAAATATTTATAAGTTATGGCAAAAAACTTTTTAGGCATAAAACGTTGATGAAACGAAAAATATCACTCATATTCATTTTTATCCCATTGCTATTATAATTATTATGAACGTACGATATGTAATTTTAAAAAATTATGAATTTTATGTTTTCGGCATTAAATTAAGTTATAATTCAAAAACTTTTTCTATAAAAAATATACCATATTAACGCGAAGAGGATATCTCATGGACGATTTTACCTCATTCAATATCATTTACCTATACTACACCAAAAAGTTAAAATTCCAAATTTA